GATTCCCTCAAGCGGTTGATGCGCAGTGCCAAAACGCATCTTCACAAATAACATCTCCACTTTTATAAAAGAAACTGAGATTTAAGTACCAAAAATGTGGGATGATTTGGGTGAAAATGGGACTTGGAGTAGTATCAGTGTGATGGCAAAAATCCCCCACCTTGGGCGGCCTCCTCTGTTGGCGCGAGAAGGAAGTGGGTGGCGAAAGCTCGGCAAGCTGTTTCATGCCCGAGACAGGGAAGCGGTCCCAAGCGTCTTGTTTTGCATTGTCTGGAGTTGCCATTGTTGGTTGAATGTCACATAGCAACTTCCAGCGCTCAATGGGTTGAGCTGACTGAATCGATGGCTGCTGGATCTGGCTACTCGCGCGTGTAAATGTGGACCTTTCAGCTTCATCAAATGCCGGGAAGAGCTGGCTTAGTTGCAGCTATTGTTTGCAAAGGCTTGAGTGAAATGTGGATATTGCTCTCTGCTGGCCAAACTCTGGAAACTGCAGCAGTGCAACACCCACCGATATGTGGGCCTTAATCCTTGAACAACGGGGTGGGGGGGGGCTGCTCGAACTAATGTATTGTATAAAGTCACTGCCGTTACTACTTTCAGAGGGCAAACTTACATTTCTAAGAGTAGATTCTAGAAAGGAGAAAAGGAAATTGAAAGGCATCTTTACCCGGATAAGTGCTCCAGGGGGTTCATTGAAAAGGAGGCCTTTTAAGTGGCTTTTGACCCAGGTCAGGAATGATGCTTTCCCAAGCCAAGGGTTGTGGCTTTAATCCTCAATCACCCCATGTGCATGACTTTTTTTTTTTAACAATATTGTCTATTCATGGATGGACAGTATACTTGTTTATGTTATAATGGAAAAGGGGAATCATCAAAATAATACAGGTTAGATCATAGAGGGATTCTGTTTGTTAACAGCAATGTTACTGATTAGGGATACGATCTTCAATAGCCATGACTGTCTCCCAAAAGACATCCCCGAATTACATTTGTTCAGCGTGAGAAGGAGAGCCATTCTTGATCCCTCATAAAACCCTGGAGAGTTTTTTGATGTCATTACACGCTTTTCTTGCAACACAGCCTTTGCCAGTTACTCTTGGTGACAACTTTATGACTTGTAAATAAGTTTACGTGCTTTGGGTAAAATTGTAATTCGATGCTTGTTTCCTGTAGAATAACCACGGCGGCATTGATTTCGCCGTAAAGTTTAAAACACATTAAAACTTTATAAAATCTGTCAGGTTGATTTCCTTTGAAATCCATGCAGTTGCAGTTAAATCCGATGGTGCAAAAGAGCACAATAATGAAAGATATGAATTTTCATCATTTCATCGTGCGTTGTTCTCAGTCCCTTGAGTATCGTATCAGTCCGAAAATTTCTGGCCATCTATCAAAAGCTCACTTGAAGCAAGAAAAGCAACTTAATATTGCATGAGCAATTTCTTTAAAGAGTTGACTGAGAGGGCAAAGGACATTTGCTGCAGTATTTTAGCACCCTTTTTAGACATTGGATGCAGCGAGCTTCTAACGATAGAATGAGGGATGGTGTGTAAGACAGCATTTGAACTGTGGGACAACCTCCAGTAGAATTTTACGTTTGTCATTTGCTTCCCGATCTCACCTTGCAGTTCAGGGGCATTTATTTTAGGCCACTCGGTTATCGACAAAGTACTTGCACGAGGCCATATTTTTACTGCCAAGTCAATTGCTGTCCCTGAGAGTTCCATCCTCTATTTTCACCCCACATTGTTTTTTAAGATGTACTATTATTGCAACAAAAAAACTATTTAAATCGACAGTGTGACCTCTACACCGTGCTCTTCAGATGGTGACACTGAAAATTGCTGTTGGCAGTAACTGTCATTGTTTGACACTTGCTATGAATCACAATAGGAACTTATCATCAGCCGTGAGAGCTGTAGCAGCCTTTGTCATGCCGGGTGACATTGGTTCTTCAAGGTTTTTCATCATAATTCTCTTCCCTGTTATATCTGTACCAGTCAATGAGATTCATCAAACTATCCAATATAAAAAGAAGGATGGTTTTGAATATTCAACACAAGAAGCTAGGACGCAATGCTGAAGCCAGATTTCAGTGAATTAATCATTTACCGATACTATTGATTTCAATTAATGCCGATAATAATGCACTAAACTGACAGCTCTAATATACATATATATTCTTTTTTATAGGATGAATACTCTTACTTGTAAATCACAAAAGTTGAGTGCAAAGCTTTAGAAACAAAATATCATTATCTGTATCAAAGTCAATTGAGCTAAAACAGAAATTAGCTGTATGTTTGCAAAAAACAGAACAACAGAACAAAGTTAGTTTAATTCTTTTAAAAAGTTTGGGAAGTTGTCTTTTCTTTCAGAAAAATATCTCAGAGAATAATGAAGATACACCAAGTGAACACCTGCATCTAACCTGCAATTAGCACAACTGTGTGAAGGCTAATTGCAGGTTAACAAAGTCGACAACCCTGCTGTTGCCTCTAAGAAGCCTGCCGGCAACATGCATCGACTCTCTACAGATAGATGTGGAACATTAGACTCTCCTTACAGAATTGAAAAACGTTTGTTTTCACACAAAAAGGCCAGTTTAGCCAGTCAGTACCCCACCCCCGAAAAAAAAGTTAACATTTGCAAGAGTCTGCTTCAAAATGTTTGTGTACTTTAATTCTTTTGTTTTAGATTCCTTTATAGTTGAAAAGTACCTTTTATAGAAATGACAGACCTCTACCTGCTTTATAAGTGGGAAAACTTCAAAAATCAGCAATGTATCAAATACTTGTTCTCCCCACTGTAACAGCCAGGTGTGTGATTGTCGTGTCACTGCTGATACAGATTTATATGTATGTGCACGGAAGTATATATTTGAGACATACACACAGTATCACTTGCGTCAAGATGAATCCCCATCCCTCCAAAATCATCACTTTTCAGGAGACTGTTAGGGAGGGGCCAGCAAGGCAGCCTCCTCAGCCAGGGTGCTCTGCACCTCACACCTGAGACTCGTCAGCTCATCACCCACCTGTTGCCTATCTGCTCGTTTGGACTGGTACATATTGACTCACAGACCATTCCTCAGTGCAAGTTCGTGCCGTCACCACGCCAGTGGACTCTGTTGCCATCTCCTACAGCTTCTTGTTCCTTGTGTGGACATTCCCTTGTGGACTCCTCGTGCTTCCCCCTGAGTGACTTTGCGAAGACTCTTCAAATAAACTACGCCAAGTGTTGGCTCCAACGATACCTGCCTGTTGTCGTGCTATTGGGGGTCACATCCAAACCCTAACAGAGACGTCCCAAAGCAGCATGTTTGTTCAACCATTCACATGACATCCTCAAAAAGAGCAAACCATTTTGAACACTCTACATAGGTCAGTAATTTGTGAAAATAACATCTCAACGAGCAGACTGACGAATAGTCAGAAGTCAGTTGTTGTTTTTTTTTTTTTAATTCTCAAAAGTGGGAGCTCAGGTGGATTGTCTTGAGATTTCACAGCGACATCTGCTGGGCGTTTGTATGTACGAACCGATGAGTGGGTCAAACTTTGCTTTGAGGACGAAGAAGTGGTGTTTGCGGATGAAGGTCACCGATCCAATCACCGCAGGAAGTGAGGAATCAAGTGGACTGGAACGTCACGCCCAGTACAAAGTTCCACTCAAGGTCCCCTTGAAGCCAAACGAGGCTGCTGGATGATGCTGTGAGCTGCGTCGTGCCCGTTTTAAAATGCTAATGCGGAGCACTACAGCTGTGTGACATTGTGTGCGCCGCATGTGAACAAAGGTTGGGCACAAAGCCAGCTCACGTCCTAATCAAATATCTGCGGTTCGTTTGTTTTTAAGTGCTTTCAAATGTAATTTTAATCATGTGAAGCACAATTTACCTCGTGGAGGAAATGTGCTATATCTAAAAGCAGCCTTGACTTGCCTTTGGTTATGGTCAGTCTAATTTGTGATCCTTTACTGGCGTGGAATGTTTCACCAAAGATAAAAATAAACAAATAATTCGCTTCTGTATTGATTCATTGCAGTGTGCCAAACAAACTTCAGAGGGAAGCAACTGGGTTGGTGAGCACGTTTAATTGCAGGATTTAACCAATATTCAAATGAAATTGTGTTGAAATAAGTGCAGTGCTGTATTTGAATCGTAGAAAACCCTGCACGCTTATGTTTACACTGGTTATGCCTTGAGTTACATTTTGTGAACCTTGGGAGGTCAAAGTTTAACCTCCACTGGGAAAAAGAATAAGTAGTCATGTTCTGTGTGCAAATTAATATTTATTATTGACCTTCTTAAAGATACTTCTCGGAGCACAAGTGAGACGACACTCCACAACCCATTTTCCACCCTTCTCCATGCGGGCAGAACACATCAGAGCACATACATCGAATTTACACACCTTAAGATGGACCAGGGTTGACAACAAAGCAGCATCACCAAGAAATACAACCAAAATCTTTCTATTTACACTGAGCAGCTCCAGTTGATCAAAAGTAGGGTTTTTAGAATGTATAGTGTCTCTGTCTTTCTTTGGAATTTATCTATGCCATGTTTTAAATGGACTTTCGCCAAAACGTAAAGCATGGTTATTATTTTCTTTCTTGATAGCCTATTTACACAATCGCAGAGAATGACAGCATATACGGATTCATTTGGCGTTTCATCAAGTGGTGATTGTTGGCTCAGAGAATACCGTCAATCTGTTCTTTTTAACTTGGCAAACAACATTTGCGAATATGCCTGTGTGAAGACGGGATCGAATCTGTGTGTGTGTGTGTGTGTGTGTGTGTGTGTGTGTGTGTGTGTGTGTGTGTGTGTGCAGTGTTTTCACAATAACTATTTACCAGCGTGGTTGAGGAAATTGAGAAGATAAATTGCGTATTTCAACACACCAACGGGAAGTATCACTGCCGTCAACGGGAATTTGTTGCTTTCCCAACGCAAAAGCTCCCAAAAAAATAGTAAAACACATTTATGGCGGTGTCCGGTTTTTTTTTTTGTTTGTTTTTGTTTTTTTTCTTAACAGGAAATCCTGTTTTTCCAAACCACACTCCTCATTTGGGAAATTTTATTACAAAGTTAACAGCATCTCCTTTGGTCCTTTACTTCTGTCATGAATCGTGGTAATGCTAAATCGATTTCTACATGTGCTTGCAGCTCAAGTGTGAAATTGACGGCTGCCGTCAAGTCAATAATTACCTTCTCCCTTTTTCCCTGTTGTGCAAACGTCTGTCAATTTATGTGGGAATTTCTGCTTAGTATCGTCTATTTCTCAGGAATGCTTCCAGGTGACCATCCATCCAGGTTAGGATTCTTACTGAGGCAAAAACAACGCACAGTATGTTTGTATCAACTCCAAGAGACGGACTTTTGGGGGAGGTGGCTAAATCAAAGGAAATATCGAGTGCAGGACAAGTGTTGGTTTGGTGCTTATTCTTGCGGCTCGAGTCCTTCCAGGTGGTCGGGGATGGGGAGGCCCGAGAGGATTGTCAGACACTTGTTCCACACGTTGAACACGGGACACACGGCTTGGGCGAAGGAGACGTGGAAAGTGTGCAGGTGCTGTGAGCCCACAGCGTCATAGAAGGTCAGGTGACCGGCGTCGTAGTCCAAGAGGATGCCGACTCTGCGCAGATGGGGCGAAGGCTCAATGGCCAGCTCTTTGCTGTTGTGGCGGACCACCCAGGAGTTGTTGCAGCGGCAGAGCACCCACGACGATGAGTTCTTGCCGATCCACTCGTGCTTAGGCGCCGACTTGTATGCTATGCCCACGGCGTACCTGGAGAGGAGGGGAGGGATGTTCGGCTTGGCATGACAATGCCCTCGTAAAGAAAAACGTACCACGTGCTTCCTCCAATCATGGCCTCCCAGTAGTGGCGCCCACTGTCGATGTAAACGTTCCCCACCACGCCGTAGCTGCTCTGGCTGGTGAACCGCTCTTGGCTGTGGCCTTTTTTCGATGTGCTCTCGTCGCGTTCCACCGTCAAGTTGTCGTGCGAGATTTTCAGCTTCTTGTGAGCAGATTTGGGGTCGAGCTTGAATGGCTGGCCTGCCGGGAACAAGCGGGTGGAATGGCGAAAACAAAGTGATGCTGGAACACGACCATATTGAGATTTATAGCAGGCATGATCCCTCACAGAACACCTCATTTATTTTCAGTCAATTTCATTTCATTTTTGCAGAGGGGAAAAGAAAGAAATCCACGTCTAGCTGAGTGGATAAAATTAAAATAATGATGCGAAACATGCCACGGATTAGATTTCAGTCACGCTTTGCCTTTGTTTTTGAGTTTTTCTTAGTTGGCGACTTACTGTTAGTTTTTAGAGTCCCCGGGTCACTGCTTCGACTCCCTGCTTGGTTAATCGCCTTGACAACAAAGATGTACTTGGTGCCACTCTGCAGGCCATGTACAGTGTAATGGTTCTGTTTGATGTTGGGCACAATCATCCAGCTCTCCAATGAATTGCACAGACCTGAGAGGAAAGATTTACAAGTAGCACGAGATGACTACAATGGGATGAAGTAGAGTGCGGTGTCAGTAAAGATTAACGACAACTCAGAACGACCTTGTCAAAAGTGAAAACAATTCAGGAATCGCGGCAACTTTTAAATGAGCTGCGCCTTGTCTTTTGATCGAACCACGCCATGTTTCTCGGAAAGGATGAATCATGTTTTGGCATAGTCCTTCAAGGATAGAGCAAATCAGTTCGTGAGGTGTCTTCACTGACGAGGTAGTAATTGCATTTGAGGCAACAGACATTGACCCGTACGTATTTTATTTCTTGCTCAGTTGCTCACAAATGCACCATGCTGCACAAACTTCATGTGTAAGCTAAAACGCAAGCACAATCCTTGACTGAGACACTCCGAGTTAGTTCGCTGCCTGTCACCTTTTCAAGTCATCGACCAGAAGGACGATGTAGGCAAAAAACAAACAAACAAAAAAAATTAAAAAAAACCATCAGCTTTCTTAAGGGTGGACAAACAAAACTGGGGATGATGCAGTAATGAACCAGCCATCCCAAGATTCCCCACAGATCTGCGGTGTCCTTGAACAACAATCGATTTTTACTGTTTTCTTTTTTTTTTCTTTCTTGGTCCATTTTCTCAGCTAATACTACCAGCACTTGGTTTGATAACAGACACGCATTTATTGTTTGGCAAAGTTGTGGCCCCAGGGTCTTTGTGTATGGCGATATGTCCACTACATGTTGTCAACATGCACACATTCTTCTTGAAAAGTTGAGAAGAGGGATTTGACAAGACATTTGAATAAGGCCCTTTGTTATGAGTCAGGGTACCTTGGGTGAATTCAAGTGATGTTTGCGGCTTGGATAAATGTTTAGATTTTTTTTTTCCCCCCATTTATACACAGGACTTACTGGCAATGTTGGACTGTCCAGTGAAGATAGCATATTGGAGCTCGTATGACGCTACTGTGAATTCATCATCAGATGTCCAGTGGACCGAGATAGTGTCGTAGGATGCTGTGCACAGCTCTTCCCGAATGCACGGCGCAGACGGAGCTGCGGAGGAAAGACAGAACATTTTCGTTAGCGATGGCGTTGGTGACGATCCATCATGATAGCACTGCCTAAAATTAATAGCAAAGTTAATTCCTTTCTTTATGATTAAGTGGACCAATGGTGGATCACAGAAAGCACAAATAAATATATTTTGGGGGTGGGGGTGTAACAAACATTCATTTCATCAAGTTAGACCAGAGGTCTCCAACATTTTACACAATGAGAGCTCTGTCAACAAAATGAATGGTTTCGGTAGCATTAACATTCATTCATTTTCTGTCTCTTTATCCATTTGAGTATAACTTGTGAACCGGAGTCTACTGTTCGTCTATTGTCCATCAATCAAGTTACTAAGGGTTTTTTTAGGATAGTGAAAATGATTTAAAATAACTTAGGGCTGATTAAAGTGTTGCAAATGGACTGAGTGTCTCCATGTGAAAAAAAAAAATACACTTTATGCTTTACCAGTGAGGTAATCGAGATTTTCCAGCAGTTTCTTTTCTCTGGAGAAGTCCAGGGCAAAGTTGTCAAACGTGTCTGTCAGGTGTATCTCAGGAATAAGCACTTGGGTTGATGCAGTTGCCATGGAAACCCTAAAAGTGAGCAAACCAAATCCAGGATCTCATTCAATACTATAAATACATCCGACTTTGTCCAAGGCAAACTGTACATTTAAATTCAGGGAAAACAAGCGTTTGTGTTTCTTCGAAGGAGGGCACATGTTCGCTCTGGGCCTTTGCTGGCCCAAATCAATCGGACGGCTTAGTTGAAGCTTAAGTAGACAAGCGGGATAAGATTGGGTTAAATCGTAAATGTAATGCCAAGGCGGAAAAAATCAATCACAGACAAAGTTTTCAAATGGACTCTTATCGTCTCCCATTGTCCTCTCCTCATTTCTGAGCACTAAGCGTGTTGAACTGGTTCAGTTCGGCGTGTGCGGTTGCCTGACCTCTCGTTAATGCTCTTAGCGGTCTGCAGAAAGCGGGCGTGGTCGCTCTCTTTCAGTGTCTGGTCGGCTTGTGTGATGAGCACAGAGGATCTCTCGATACACTGCTGGCAGTTGGAGATCTGCTGGGCCAGCTTGCGAAGCCTTTGCGCCTATATAGGGAGGATCAAAAATGGTGAGCAAGAAGTGGAAATCACATTGTTTTTATGCCCCTGAACCCTGACCACAGCCATCCATTTTTCCATAGTGTTCTGATCTACTCTAAAATACCTGTCCGCGATATTTAACAACAATTCTTGGATCTGTCTCAAAAATATCTGATTGGAATGAAGTATGTATTTATTGTGTATGCATCATGCTGAGAGATGTGTCTAATATTCTGACCCTGTTATGCAGCAAGCAACTCTCAGTATGATGCGCTACGCCACTGGAGGCTACAGATTGTTTTGATACATTTGATTGTACAAGTGGTGAGTTGTGTTCAGACAGGATGCAAGAAGAAAGCAAATCAGCTTTGTTAGGCTCGAGTTGCACACAACCCTAATAAGGACAAGCGGGATATGAAGCGGAGAGATGGATGTTCTACGCGTACACCCCAATCTTAAACAATATGGCAGTGGTTATAATGAGTTAATTTCTCTCTCGATGCGATTGACTTCTCAAAGATGAGCCTATAAATAATTCTCTAAATTCTAGTCTGTGAATGTCTGGTATGAAAAGATGACCTTTATAGAACGACCAGTTCCACTCTCTGCCACTACAGACGGAGATTTCAAGAGACAGATTGAGGTTACGCTGAAATTAGGCCAAAGCGCATTTTGTCAGCAATTTGGCCTGAACATTGTAATCTCTGTTCAAATCTGTGATGCTTTGCAAAGTCCTTCAACCATTGCGGACTATTTTAAGTCCTATTGATCCTGCCTGGTGCTGCATCAAATAAAAATGTGTTGATGGAAAAAGGTTGTTACTTCACTGCGGTCCTCAATACTAAGGTGCTGTACAGTGTTAAAGTCTCATCGAATGCATCATGAAAAGTTTACAGTACATGCATAGTCACTCTCCTGGATGCGGCAGGACCTATTTTGGGTCAGTCAGTCTGTTTGGATGTCATGCCATAAGTAAATAGGTCAATGGATAGGAACAAAAGAGAATAAGCAAAAGTACAACAGGGACCGGAGGCCACAAATGTTGGAAATGATCAATGCTTATTTCCACCGCTAAGTCCCCTTACCTTCCCTTCCTTAATCTTGCTGCCAATTATCTGTCGCCTCTGCTGGATGATGTCGATCAAAGTGTCGCACTCATCCAAGAGCTTACCCTCCTGGCGGGATGCATTCACCTATGCGGGGAAGCCACAGTGAGACACTTCCAAGCGGTTCTTTGACCTCTTGGGGTAAGCTTTTGAAAGCCGTGAAACACTTCTGCTTTGTGTATTCAAGGTAGCCAAAACAAAAACCCACCAATAGTAGGATGCAGTTTAATTTTACACTACTGCAAAGTACGACCGCAGTGATAAACATGTTGGTAGATGTCAAACGCGAGCATTGTTGTATCCCACGCCCCTCCAACAGTACCTTGTGTACTTAAAATCTCAAGACAGACCAAAAATGAGAACTCTGTTTTAAATTTTGATGAAGATGCACTTTCTGCACAGCTTTAATATCATTCAAAAAAGTAGTAAAAGTTTCATTTGAACTGACCTAAGTACTGAAAACGTTTCTTGAATAGCTGTCGTGTTAAATAGAGTGCATTGTACAAAGACCAGGGGTGGCCAAACTTTTACTTCCAAGAGCCACAGAAATAAAAAAAAAATGAAACACATGAAGATCACTTTGACATCTTTCAATATTTATTTTCCAAGCTAAAACAAATCCAGTGGGTAGGTAGGTAAAACTATGTGAATATGCAGTTGCTGCTATACTGTTGAATGCTGTTATATTGACAATGTACACCATGTTGCTGCACCATTTGTTTTCACTGCCATGATTAAAGTGTTAATGCAGTGCAATATACAGTAGATGCTAATTAGAGTTTAGAGTTAAGCTGGCAGACTGGAAGGCTAAGCTATGGTTGTTTTAATTAAATGCACGATGCAGTATTCTTCCTGTGTTTATGTTTAGCTTTAGAAGGAATGGCATTGAAGCCACACCTTGAAGCCTCTTTTATTAAGAGTTGTTTACTATTTGCCCAAGTGCTTCTATTGTCAAGTGAGTTGAGCTCAGTGCCACGGCTGATTTTTTAAATTTTATTTTCTGGTCATGACTCTGTGTTTGTTTCGATTAAATTTGGTTTTATTTCATCCTTTACGGTCATGGTTCTGTTCTGTTTGTGACCAACAGGTGGAAATGGAGGGCTTGTTCTCCAGTCTCGCACCTGTTGGTCATCATGTCATTAGCTTTTTCTGTTCTAAGGACTGCCACACCGACCACTCGGCGTTGGCTTGTTGTGTTGCTGTTATGTTTTTTTGGTTTCTGTTGCTGTTAACACTGTTTTGTTTTTCATAGAGATGTGTTTTGTTGTTACTTTGAGTTTTGGTTGGTTTTCAGGTCTTTGTTTGTGTTATTAATTTAGGTTGTTCAGTATGCCCCTGTATGTGTTTTGTTCATACGTTTGGTTCAGTACACCCTGCCTCTCCTGCTGCATTGCTTCTTTGGTCCATTCCCATTATCATCGCACAACATTACTTTTTTTTCCAATTAAAAAAAAAAAATTATATATATATTTGGTTTATGGTTTTTGAAAGGTCATTTTGACGTTTAATGCTTTGCGATTAAAGATGACGTTGACATATTGCTCATCTGTCTGATCCTTGACTGGGATTATTTCCATAGCAGCACGCTTAGAAAGCACAAATCCTGCTTCTGAAATTGAAGTGGAGTTGAATTATTACACGACGGAAATGCTCCAGCCCCACAGAAAGTAAGATAGTTGCGTCCACAGTTGTTATGCAGAGCACATTGTGTGCAATGCACAGAAGTATTTAATGACTGTGTTGGCAAAGGCTACTGGACCATATGACAGAATGTAACATGGCATGCTGATCAAGTGATTCATTTAAACATTGAAAAAAAGCTGGAGAACATTCAGCCATTTTACAATAAACTGAGCTTCGTAATGAAGGCAACAAGAAATACGAAAAGAGCCGAAGGGACTGTCAGTGCAGTGAATTTCCTGTGTAACCCGGCATGTCATTTCCAACTCACATCAAAGCACACTCCCAACATTCATATGGACTCTCCTCAAGCTATTTTCAGAGTCTGGAGTGTGTGAACCATAATGCACAGGGGCGGTTGGAGGGGACGGGGAAGTGGGACAAGTGTTTTTTTCCACCCCTTGTTTTACACATCATTTATTCATGGCTGTTTTTTTTTTGTTGTTGTTGTTTTTTTCAGGCAAGTTTCAACTTTCCGCATCATCAAAACGAGCAGCTCATCACAAAGCATAGAACGCTGTCTTCACCAACAACACTGCGCACACATCCATGTTTTGGCACTATAGCATCGTGATCAAGCACAATACTCGCTTCTTGCGGTTTCTAAAGGCCGTGTCAGGCAAAGATGCCGCTCTCCATTAACTCCAAAGAGATGCTGCTGCAGTTTTAACCCATAGGCGCTGCTTTTTATAAAAGCTTCTTTGAGCGCTTGTGTATGTAATGTCAGTGTTCGGGTTTAAAACAGAGTTGCCTCCAAATACCCCAGTGCAATGCACTGCCCTCGCTTTTGTATGCATGCTCAACCATAATGCTGAAAAGAATGAATAACTCAGCGTTGGCTTGTTGTGTTGCTGTTATGTTTTTTTGGTTTCTGTTGCTGTTAACACTGTTTTGTTTTTCATAGAGATGTGTTTTGTTGTTACTTTGAGTTTTGGTTGGTTTTCAGGTCTTTGTTTGTGTTATTAATTTAGGTTGTTCAGTATGCCCCTGTATGTGTTTTGTTCATACGTTTGGTTCAGTACACCCTGCCTCTCCTGCTGCATTGCTTCTTTGGTCCATTCCCATTATCATCGCACAACATTACTTTTTTTTCCAATTAAAAAAAAAAAATTATATATATATTTGGTTTATGGTTTTTGAAAGGTCATTTTGACGTTTAATGCTTTGCGATTAAAGATGACGTTGACATATTGCTCATCTGTCTGATCCTTGACTGGGATTATTTCCATAGCAGCACGCTTAGAAAGCACAAATCCTGCTTCTGAAATTGAAGTGGAGTTGAATTATTACACGACGGAAATGCTCCAGCCCCACAGAAAGTAAGATAGTTGCGTCCACAGTTGTTATGCAGAGCACATTGTGTGCAATGCACAGAAGTATTTAATGACTGTGTTGGCAAAGGCTACTGGACCATATGACAGAATGTAACATGGCATGCTGATCAAGTGATTCATTTAAACATTGAAAAAAAGCTGGAGAACATTCAGCCATTTTACAATAAACTGAGCTTCGTAATGAAGGCAACAAGAAATACGAAAAGAGCCGAAGGGACTGTCAGTGCAGTGAATTTCCTGTGTAACCCGGCATGTCATTTCCAACTCACATCAAAGCACACTCCCAACATTCATATGGACTCTCCTCAAGCTATTTTCAGAGTCTGGAGTGTGTGAACCATAATGCACAGGGGCGGTTGGAGGGGACGGGGAAGTGGGACAAGTGTTTTTTTCCACCCCTTGTTTTACACATCATTTATTCATGGCTGTTTTTTTTTTGTTGTTGTTGTTTTTTTCAGGCAAGTTTCAACTTTCCGCATCATCAAAACGAGCAGCTCATCACAAAGCATAGAACGCTGTCTTCACCAACAACACTGTGCACACATCCATGTTTTGGCACTATAGCATCGTGATCAAGCACAATACTCGCTTCTTGCGGTTTCTAAAGGCCGTGTCAGGCAAAGATGCCGCTCTCCATTAACTCCAAAGAGATGCTGCTGCAGTTTTAACCCATAGGCGCTGCTTTTTATAAAAGCTTCTTTGAGCGCTTGTGTATGTAATGTCAGTGTGCGGGTTTAAAACAGAGTTGCCTCCAAATACCCCAGTCGGCTTAGCTCTGTGCAATGCACTGCCCTCGCTTTTGTATGCATGCTCAACCATAATGCTGAAAAGAATGAATAACTCAGATATCTGCACCTCATCGGGACATTGAACAAAGTGTAGCACATTCAATGTGATCTACACAATAAACTACGGCTACACATTTTTGTTTGTCTGCACTGTTTGCCAATTGCTAAATAAAAGTAAAGTAAGGAGAGTCCCTAGAAACCATGCAAATATGCATCGAGTGTGTTCTGAACAATTTGGGGATGACAGAAAGCAATCTGATCGGACACCCAGTGAGTGCACTGACACAACAAAGCTATTGCAGCAGAATGAGTTTCGATGATATTATCATTTATTTTCTTGGGCTGAGTAAAGAAAACTCAAAAGAACCTCATTTTGCTGTGCACAATAAAAAAGGGAAACATGATTCGCCCTCAACATTTACATCCCTGACAAGCCTCAGTAGATCACTCACCTCCACATGTTGACAAGTCTGAATCAGTTTCCCCATTAGCGACTCCAGCTCGTTGTTCCTCTTGATCAGATTACTCAGGTTTGAATCCAAGGCTTGCTGGAGAAAAAGGCATCAAGTTGACATGAATGAGAAGGTGCCCAAACAACAAAAACAACACCAAAGCCTCCAACAAAGCAGTAGAGCCACGAGACAAGTAAGTTTTGAGGTATCCTCAGGCACTTGTTCACAAAACAAAACCGACACTATTAAACAAAAGCGTGATCCTTTCATTCTGTAAGGAAAGGTTATGCTACATTTTGAAATAAGAAAAGCACCCCAGCATGTCTCCAAGCGTATTTCCATACCTCCGCGCGAGGGTGATAACCCTCATCCCTGCACTGCCTCCTCATCTTGTCCCGTTCGAGCCTGAGACACAGTCCTGCCCTAGCTGAGGATGTGAGTGGGACAGCCACTCCACTGAGCACCAAGCCATGCGCAAACCCGGCCAAGCGGCAAATTAGGCATCAAAAGCTTTTTTCCTCTCCTATGAGAGCATGCAGCACTTGCGGCTAACGAACCGGCAAACAGGTGACAGCACGTCATCCCCATTCGACTCCCTCATTTCTCTTGTATTCATATATATATACTGTATGTGTGTGTGTGTGTGTGTGTGTGTGTGTATACATATATATGACTCGCCGTCAGAAAGGGCACAAGCTGTCTCCTTTATTTCCAAGAGTTTCACCCTAATGCCAAATCAAGCCTGCTTAAGATGATACTCCTTTTTCCATCTCGAATGAATCCAAGATGAGTGTTACAGTGGTGCTTTTTTTTCTCAAATAGCTACATCTGGCCGCATGCTATCCCAACACAGCAAAGAGCATGAACTGGATAGTTTTTTTTTTTCTTTAAGTTCAAACTGATAATATCACATTCGCCATGCTTTATCAAGTAGTTCCTCGGTGTAGATCAGTTTTAATTTGAAATTCACAGTCAACACAGCACAAGACTTAAGGGATTTGCGTAGTTTGTGTTTATGGGTGAGCCTCGTCGTGGCATAGGGAGCTTAAAGGATGGCCTTAATACGATGCTGGCACACAAAAGCAAAAGCAGCACAAATGTCTTCTTTGGAAGCCTATGACAGGTTTGCATACTGCCTTATCACTGTGTGCTTTGTGTGTCACCGCAAGTATTGATGAACAGGATGTGGCTTACCTCACAGGTCCTTAACCACCATTCGGTTATATATAATAGATATATTGCCTCTTTGCTGTCTGGCTATGCACATGCGTGCGCATAAACGTGTGCATATGTTCATGCTCACACGTGCATAGAATGCATGCTAAAGCAGATGAGCTGTACTTCTTTTTTGTACAGTGATAATTGATCAAATTATGCTGGCAACACTAAAGGGCACGTGGTTACGGATTGTTGTATAACACAATAAAGCTGGCAGAGGAAACCTGTGTGCTCGCACAGAAGCTCCCATCTTTTATCCCAGAGGTTTTTCCTCACTCTCGTCCACCATCCGGGATTTAAATATGTTTTTTTCCGAGCGCCTGTGGGTAATTTCATCGAGGAAAAGGATGGGTATTCCAACACTAACCCCGATGGCTCTTATCAGACTTTCACTTAAAAAAGGAAGCTATTAGAGTCATCTAGTATCTTTCATTTTGTGTGTGTGTGTGTGTGTGTGTGTGTGTGTGTGTGTGTGTGTGTGTGTGTGTGTGTGTGTGTGTGTGTGTGTGTGTGTATGTGCGTGTGTGTGTGAGTCTGTGTGTGTGTGCGTATGTGAGCAAAAGAGCGAGGATGAGACACGTAGGAGTATCTCAAATTCACAGCACATCAGAGCAAAAAGTAAACACCGTCAAATCGGTCAATTTTTTTTTTTTTTTGTATCTTGTCATAGTCCAAATGGAAGCAAACAAAATCTAAGTGTGAGGATATTTTTAACTTTAACTTGCTGTTTGCTGACATGTGGTATCAAGTCCAGCAAAGTCTTGATGGACGAAAAGGTCATCCATGTTGTCTTGCGGGAAATGTTCCACGGAAATAAATTCATTTTCAGATGAATGGATGTGAGTGTGCAGACTGTGGGTTGAGTTTCCCATTCAGTGGTGGCGTGAATGTGACTGTGAACGCTGGTCTCCGTGCCTGGTGATTAATTGGCAATCAGTCCAAGGTGCAGGCTTTAGGGCAAAGCTTTTCCCGTAGGTGGGTGAGCGAATGAGAGGGTGACAATACTTTGACCTCCAGATTATCTGCCTTGCTTGTAAATGAGTTCAATCAGCTCTTGGAATGGCAATTGCATCCTTTCCAAATAGACACATACAATGCGTAGCTCCTCTCCAACAAAGACAGCAGCACACTGATAGAGTATAGCCACGCTCAATTAAGCCCAGCTAACACCCAGCGGGTGATTGGCACTCATTAACCTGCAACCTCATTGAAAATGGCCATGTCTCTCCGTTCATTAAGCGCCCCCATACGCGCGCCCGTTGTGGCACCGTATGCATGGCTCTGTGCACGCAGCCCGCACACCAGCGTGGCTCCGTCATCATGCTAATTGCCTAACAACTCCACAGGTGTAATCGCCGTGAAATGATACCATCTCACCTGTTCATTCGGATTCAATTCCTTCTCAAAACGTGGCTATCCAAGCAAAAAAGAGTACCGTCTGTTTTTGTCTTTAGTACTTATCTTAAACGCAAAGATCCAGTATGTCGTAAGTGTTTCTGAAATTGCAAGTCTCTCGTTGGGTGTGACATGGGAGAGAGAGTGTCATGTGCTCCAAATACGTCGGCCAAAAATAAATTAATTGAGAAGAATAATGTTGGTAAATATAGCACAGCTTATCAGAGCAAAACCGAAATAGTTGCAAAAAATGCCCTCAGGGGAAAACTATCTTTCCTCTTCCGACCCTAATTTGGCCATTGATGTCCTTGCCAAAAAAGTCCAGACAAATCTGTTCAGGCAGCAAAGCCCACGCATTTAGTGCCTTTAATTTAAGTTTGAAACGGTTGGGTGATGGTGCTGCTATTCAGCCTGCTTAAAAAAAAGGTGCATTTACACAACACTATTAAAACAGGAACTTTTTTTTGCACTGCGTAGGTTGCAGTAAGTTTACATTTTACTGGATAAATGAAGCAGACAATTCCTATTTTGAACAGCACAAATGCAATAACAGTGCTGTTACCACTCTTGTTTTTTGGTTGTGTTTCCCAGACAACAGGAACACTGTTATTTCCGAATGTGTCATTCTTAAATGGGCTCCAAAATGCAGTTTTTACTCAAATAAATAGGCATTTTCAGCTGAATGCAGTCATGTAAACCAGTGATTCTGTCATTAGCGTGCAATCACAGATCAACGTGTGTGCTATGGGAAGTTATTCAATGGCACAACTTGGAGGGATAAATATTTATTTTGTGTAAATAATGTATATTTTGGTATAATTTGGAAATATCAATGGCAGTGATGTACAGTGACAGGCAGAACAATTAAATGCCCTTCCACTCGATGGCAGTTCATCTGCTTATAAACTTTTTGTGACTGTGATTTTTGTTTCATGGCTTGCTGTGAGATTTCTATTTTCCCCACGTGTAAAATATGTACCTTGGCTCGGTGAAGTTTGGAGAACCCTGATGTAAATGACTCCACCTCTTTGGCCTCAATCCATCGCAGATAAAACAGCGGTAGAGCCAAATTAAAAAAAAAACATTGAAATCACTCACCCTGAGTTTTTCGAAGCGCTCACTCAGTGCAGCCACCTGGTGGTCTCTGTGCCTTCCCACCAGTTTGCAGAGGGAGCAGATGAGCTGGTCATCAGTTACACAGTACATATTGACTTTCTCCTCCTCGTGCTCCAAGCACTGGAGCCCTCGCAGGTGGGAGCCTGGCATGGGCTCAATGAGCCGATGTCCAGTAAATGGCTTCTTGTTGGGGTGAGTGGCCCTGAGGCACTCCTCGCAGTACGACACTTCACATGTCACGCACGTCTTAACCGCCTCCTGTGGCGGATCCTGCTCGCAGAACTGGCACTGGACCGGCTCCAGAGGGGTGCCTGGGCTTGACATGGCGACGCTGACGGGGACCAGGGCCAGCCTCTCACTTTCTTCTTCACCGGGCGAGTTGGGCCCGCTTTGGGGGGCAGGCAGGGGCAGCGGCAAAGGAAGCCCACCTGAAGATGAGGCCTGCTGAACTCTGTCGATGATGTTCTGCAAGGTCACGTTTCTCTTGAGTCCTTCGAGCCCACGTTCAGGACTCAAGGAAATGACATATCTGCACGTGGGACACTGGAAGGCGCTGTGAACCGATTCGTTGGTGGCACAGTGCGAGACAAGGATACGGTGAGCACAGCCAAAACATAAACTGTGGGCACAGGGGAGCAACAGTGGGTCCTCAAAGAGCTCCAAGCAGATTGGGCAGGTCAGCTCTGACTCCAGAGAGTCCATCCTGTTCAGGGGAAACCAGGCAGGATGAGGTGCAATGTCAGCAAAATCCAGGGGAACCACTCAAATATCTGTGGGCGAGAGACAAATCAGTTAAAAAAGGGGGAAAAAAGTGCAACTGTCAGCAGTAATGGTGTGTGTCAAACAACTGATGAGACGTAAAGAAATGCAAATTGTTTTTGTCAACTTGTTCATGTAAGTCAAGGAAACTCTTGACTGATCAAGCATGCATTAATGCCTCGTGGCCTCTTGAGGGCAGCAGAATCAAGCTTGAGCAGAGCACTGCCACCACTACCTTTTCAAAAGACCCCTTGCACTGACAGAAGCGAATAAATACACCAAATAAAATAATAATTAATTGAGAAAAATGCGGAAAACAAACTGATCCACCACCTGACAAAATTAAAATGAATAAATTCAACACACCGTGTTTTTCAGTTTACACACTTTTTTGCAGGCACACTTTCTCTAGAGTTTATTTATTTATTTTTAAAATTCCCTCGAGGAGTGATTCCTAGCTCGGGTGCCGCAGCAAAACATCCAAATTGATCATTTGTCAAAAAATGATGACGTATTAATAGCACATACTGGATATCTTGGTTCATCTATCTGTTGTGTGTCAGCGACATAGTAAATGGCACAATGAAATTCCATCAAAAATCATGGCCGTCCTGCGTATATATCAGCTTCGTTTTCAGTGGAACAGGCACAGATTTTGCACGGAGTTCTTAAATGTGTGACTGACTGATGCATGTTGACACCAATGTGTTGTCTAGCGATGCACGGCTTCTTTGACACCAGGCTGAAAACACATCAGGAAGCTGAGCGTTGCAATAAATTTGAAACCCTCGCGAAAACTGTTTTGCTCTCTGTTGCCTTTGGGTGGTGGGAATGCATCGGGCATGCACTGTGACACAAGAGGTGACAGTATGAAAAGAAGCACAAGACAAAGAAGTTGGAAAACGGAGCTCAAGAAGGGACTGACTGCTTTGAATGCAAATACTCAAACTGAATCAATTTATGAGCAATTATGAGTTTTTTTCTCTGCAACTTCTATTTTGACTTTTCGTTCAGGATGACTCGTTTAGTAAAATTGTCATTCCTAAACAAGAAACTCTTTCTCTTCCACATTTCAAATCCTTTCACATCTTTGTGTCCTTTTTTTCATCCTTGAAACTGTAAAAATGTGCAAAAGTGGAACAGATGTCACACATCAAAGCTTTCAGTTTTCTTTTGCTGTTTTCTTTCACAACGTACGGGGCTGCTTGTAACTATTTGCACTTCTAATCACGATCCTCTATAATTGTAAAAGGATGGATATTTTTCTTGATCTTTTCAGTGGAATGATTAAAAACAATGACTTGGAAGTGAGAAGTCCAAAAGTTGTTTTACTGAAAAAAAAAAAAAAAAAAACATACTTTGGGAAGGGCGGGGCCCCCACCATTTGGCGAGCTGCTGTGGCAGAACCGAGAAGTAGGTCATCCCTGCTGACCTGGCGCACATAATCAGACCCCAGTGTGCGTGCATGTGTGTGTCACTCGGGATGCTGCAAACACACAAATATGGCAAACAGGCCCAGAAGGCACATGGCAGCTTTCAGGCTGAAGATGAACCTGCATTAAGATGGCTTTCACATTCTCACATTTAAAGTACATCACGGGCCCCCAAATCCTTGTTTAGGTTGTAAGTTGACAGTGTTTACTATTAAAGTGAACTGACATCTGCCCACCAACATGCATGTTTAAGTTCTCACCAATGTTTTGGTACTTGACAGCTGGGTCGGGTTTGTTTTGCAGTGCTTGGACCTGCATTATTTCTTTGATTACTATTATTTTTTTTCCTGATCTTAGTGTTATGCAGTGTAGTGTGTATTAAACAGTATGCATACTTCACACATCATGTAGTAAAGTCCACTCAAGTTTTTCCAAAGTGGACAACAGTAAAGTCAATAGTGCTAAAATGCACCAGCATAGCATTAATTAGTAGAATTACTCAGTAATATTGTTTCAGAAATACTAGTTTTTTGAGACATAATGAGCTGGTGACTCTATGGACTATGTTCTATAAAACTCAAACCAGTTTGTATTAATTATATCTAGCAAGTAGGTTGCTCTCCTTTGTTTTTGTTTGGAGGATTTGACAACTACCACACTCACATCACGATGGACAATACAATGCACAAATTATAACCAAACGTGTCATTACTCCAACCTTTAACTTGTCACATACAACGTCACAGTTGCAAGAAATATGTACACAAAAGGTAAGCCTTTGAGAAATGAGTCTTTTTTTTGAGAAGAACACATGCAATTGAGGTAAAATAAGGGCTTCAGAAGAAAGCCTTAACATCCAACTATGACTGAAATGTTTGGTTTTATATGTGAGTGATCAGCTATTCCAGTCTACTTAAATTTCTCAGGCATGAAAACTCATCTCAGCGTCTTTCAAATTGACCATGACCTTACCAATCACCCACTTGGAGGATTTATGAATGAGACGTAACTACTATTTCAGTCAGCAAAGGGGTGGATCATTCATGAAACAATGACATTCGGTCATTTTTAGCGCAAAGTCAGAGGCCCAAATCCTTGTTTAGGTTGTAAGTTGACAGTGTTTACTATTAAAGTGAACTGACATCTGCCCACCAACATGCATGTTTAAGTTCTCACCAATGTTTTGGTACTTGACAGCTGGGTCGGGGTTGTTTTGCAGTGCTTGGACCTGCATTATTTCTTTGATTACTATTATTTTTTTTCCTGATCTTAGTGTTATGCAGTGTAGTGTGTATTAAACAGTATGCATACTTCACACATCATGGAGTAAAGTCCACTCAAGTTTTTCCAAAGTGGACAACAGTAAAGTCAATAGTGCTAAAATGCACCAGCATAGCATTAATTAGTAGAATTACTCAGTAATATTGTTTCAGAAATACTAGTTTTTTTGAGACATAATGAGCTGGTGACTCTATGGACTATGTTCTATAAAACTCAAACCAGTTTGTATTAATTATATCTAGCAAGTAGGTTGCTCTCCTTTGTTTTTGTTTGGAGGATTTGACAACTACCACACTCACATCACGATGGACAATACAATGCACAAATTATAACCAAACGTGTCATTACTCCAACCTTTAACTTGTCACATACAACGTCACAGTTGCAAGAAATATGTACACAAAAGGTAAGCCTTTGAGAAATGAGTCTTTTTTTTGAGAAGAACACATGCAATTGAGGTAAAATAAGGGCTTCAGAAGAAAGCCTTAACATCCAACTATGACTGAAATGTTTGGTTTTATATGTGAGTGATCAGCTATTCCAGTCTACTTAAATTTCTCAGGCATGAAAACTCATCTCAGCGTCTTTCAAATTGACCATGACCTTACCAATCACCCACTTGGAGGATTTATGAATGAGACGTAACTACTATTTCAGTCAGCAAAGGGGTGGATCATTCATGAAACAATGACATTCGGTCATTTTTAGCACAAAGTCAGAGGCACAATACCAACGCCACACTTCCTATTTTGCTGTACGCTTCCATGCTCAGAAAAGTAGAAAGCATGTGATAAATTTTGCAGTGCAGACATCGCTGCCTAATCTGGGCCAAAGTGGCAGGGCTCATAGCTAAGTGATGTCAAATATCTTAACCTACTTCCTTTTCTCCTTCCTTCTCCACTTCCTCGTCCTCTCTGTGAAACAGTGTAAGCCAGTGTCTGAGTATTCAGCACACACACCGGCGCACACACACCCACTCACGCGCACGCGTCGCCTTTGTGTAATTCCAGACACCAAATTGATCCATAATCCGTTCCCACCCACGCTGGACTGTGACCAATCACAGCCTTTCATACTATGAGATGGATTTGCCAGTCAGTTTTCAAGTCCGGAGTATGATCGAGGTTGACGTTTGTATTTTTGTACGCGTGTTGCTTAAATGATCCAAATTAGATGTGACGGTGTTTGCCAAATTACATGTGACACTAAGAGGAAATAAGGGAAGGGAATGTGAACAAGGTTCGTGTTGATGACTTGATGGGAGACAGAGAGAGATGCTGATGTTGAGGTGCATTGTCTCTCCAGCATTAGACCTCAGCCACAAAAATGTTGATTGGGTGTGACAAGCGCTTCCCGGTCACTACAACGGAGATGTCTGTAAGATTAGAATACTGCAGCTGGATTCGAAATTTTGCTCGTCTCGGACTGTGTCACTCAATACTGAGTATTTGTTGTCTCATATCTCAGCAGATTTTCGGAAACTGGTCAGGTGTGTCAAATCTTTTGCGCAGCGTCACATTTAAATGAACTTGTGTTTGGCCACTGTTGTTGAGTTATTTTGGTTCAAGTCTTGACTTAACTGTCAAGCTTTGATTGAAGGTGGAGGGATACTTCATTTCAGTTTATTTGTGTATCATCTGTTTAAAGGTCATCACCATAATTGAAAACATTTTGCGTCAACTTCGATCTTTGATTTGTGATCGTAGTATCGTGTTTGCAAGATAATGTGGGTTGAAAATGAGCAGGGTGGCGTTTTTCAAACCGTTTTTGTTGGCCAGAAATGACTGTGATTTTGAACGGACCATTTTCCCATTGAGATTAAAATATATAAATGTGCTAACTGGGTGTCTGTTCTTCTTAATTTGATATGGAAAACAGTTAGTTCTCGATGTGTAGGCTTCTTGTGGTCACTGTGTCTCTTCATTGTGTTGGCTTCATTGAAATGCAGCTGTCCATTGGCGGAGGTGTGGCTGGCCACAGTGCGATCTGAGGCAGCCGCGGCAATACAATACAACATCAAGGTGACGGCCGAGTAGCCCTGGTGGAAAACTTTTCCACCTCCACGGTGACCCCCGGCGACCTCTCGGCATGCGAGCACTCTAAAGCAGTGAGCAGTGTGAACAAAGGCGCTTTCCCCGGCTGGTTCTCAGTGTGTCCTCTGATTTTTGTTAAATAAACAAAATAAAATCGAGTAAATTCAACAAGAACCGCCCCCCCGCAAAAAAAAAAAAAAAAATCAGTGATGGGACCGCCCCTCCTTAGACAGAATTGCTGCAGCAAACATGATCGCTTTGTGC